GGCCCACCTATAGGGACTTACTAATGAAGCAAGAAGGGAAGATACAGTTAAAAGTGCAAGAAGAGATAACACTACACCACAAGAACGTATCATGGTTTCAATTTCTACAATTAAGAGAATACTATAACAAAGACTCACTAGTAGGTTTCGCAAACAAGGATGAAATTTGGGAATCTTTAATACAAAAGGACAAGAAAAATGTAACTAAGATATACTCCCAATTATTGGAATGGTCTACCGAGACCAAATTGATAAAAGAATGTATGGTTAAATGGTCCAGAAATATAGGCAGGTCAATACATTTGAGGGAATGGGAACAAATCTGGAATGTGAAATTAAAATATACTTATGCAATTGAATTAAAAGAAAATTGGTACATGATGTTCTTTTGTTGATATATTACCCCACAGAAATTATGTTTACTGTATAAAAAGGCCCAAAATAAATGCTGGAAGTGTGAAAGGCAGGTGGGAACACTATATCATATGTGGTAGGCCTGCCCTAAAGCAAGAAAATACTGGAAGCTAGCCAGAAGATCCTACAAACAACAATACAACTCAAATCAGAATATTTCTTACTTGGAATTACAGATGACAACATCGAGCTTGACAAAAACAAACTGTTCACTTACCTGACCACAGCCGCCAAGACTGTATTTGCAAGGAAATGGAAACTTAAAGAAACGGCAACAAAAGAAGACTGGGAGAACAAAGTATGGGAAATAATGGACATGGATACACTGACTTTCTACTTAAAAGATTCAGGGGGAAAACCTCTGAAACCTACAGACTACACTGTACAAGGAATATATGAAAACCCAACAAAGTTCACAGTGATTCCTAATTATAAAGGTGAAAACGGATTAAGTAGGGAAAAATAGGTTCCTGATCAATGAAGACATAAAAGAGAATTAACTAATTGTAAATAATTTTATTGATGCAGAGAAGGAAGATTAGGACACAGGGAAGACGAATGTGGAAGTCAACATTTCTTTTTTTAAAAAATTATCTTCCCTTCCCTCAACCCTCCCCCTCCACCGCCCTTCCTGCCTCCCAATTGTCCTCTTAATCCCCTCCCCCTTTCCCCCAACCCGCCCCCCCAACCCATACACCACTACCAATCCCAATTCTTCCCTATTTTCCATTTTTAAAATATCTGTAAGCAAAATCTCAATAAAGATATTTTTACATGCAGGCCAAGGTCTTTAGGCACTGCACCCAGTGTGCAGATCACCACTGGGACCACCTTGACTGGCTTGTGTCAGAGTCTTTGCAGTTCGATCTTTAAATCTTCATATCGTGTCAGGTTTTCCAGTTGTTTCTCTTAAATCCTGCTTTCACCTGGGATTGCAACATCGACAATCCATACTTTGTTTTTTAACACGATCATGAGGTCAGGAGTATTGTGCTCCAAAACTCTGTCTGTCTGAATTCGGAAGTCCCAGAGTAGCTTGACGTGTTCATTCTCTGTAACTTTTTCCAGCTTGTGATCCCATCAATCCTTTTGTCGCAGGGAGATGGTATTTGTGGCACAAGTTCCAATGAATCATCTGAGCAATGGTGTTATGCCTCTGCTTGTAGTCTGTCTGCGCAATCTTCTTGTGAGCTATTGTTTCATCTGCTTCCTTGCAGAGTCTATATTCGGGATCTGTCGTCAACTTTTCAATTCTGGCTTTGATGGCATTGGTTCTAATGGCTTGTTCTTGGGCTGCCAGAATCAGACCCTCCGTCTCCTATTTCAAAGTTCCATTTGCGAGCCCATGTTTTCTTCTTCTTCTTCTTCTTCTTCTTCTTCTTCTTCTTCTTCTTCTTCTTCTTCTTCTTCTTCTTCTTCTTCTTCTTCTCAGTGGTTGCTGGCTTCTCCTGTTTGCAGAATTTGAGCTCTATTCTGCAAATCCTCTTGGGATCATTTCTCCCTTTTAGCTTGGGAATTGTCATCTTAGTATTGCTGCACTTCCAAAATTTTACTTACAAGGAAGCTGGCAAGAGGAAGGAAGTGGAAGAGAAAGGGTGCCTGAGGCCAAAACGGGACTATAATTGACTGTTTTCTGTTCCTGGAGTGATGCCTCAGGTTTGCATAACTCAAAAATACAAGCAAACCAGAACGACGGCAGCAGAAATTGTTGTGTTTTTTTAATGCCTACAATTTAAAGATAATTAACTATGGCCCCAACTATACTGCCATGTAAACCAGTTTCTGATTCCAGATGATCTGCTTCAGACTGAATTATATGATAGTGTAGATCCATGCTAAAATGGACCAGGTTTCCTGCCTTCCCTGAAAATCCCATCCAGGAGCCTTTCTATGCCTCTTACTTCACAGCTATGACACTATGATTTCATTGCAATTGCCACAGCTGCAGTCTATAAAATCCTGGGATTGATAGTTAGTTGAGGCATTCTGGCAAAGGACTCTAAATGTTGGGTTGTTGTAGGTTTTTCCGGGCTATATGACCATGTTCTAGAGGCATTTTCTCCTGACGTTTCGCCTTCATCTATGGCAAGCATCCTCAGAGGTAGTGAGGTGACCTCACTACCTCTGAGGATGCTTGCCATAGATGCAGGCAAAACGTCAGGAGAAAATGCCTCTAGAACATGGCCATATAGCCCGGAAAAACCTACAACAACCCAGTGATTCCGGCCATGAAAGCCTTCGACAACTCTAAATGCATTTTCCCTGAACTGGAAATACCACAATACTAGAATATGTTGCTTTGGCAGTTCAAGTGGAATCATGCTGCCATAATTGTGTGGTGTGAAAGGGTCCCCATTCTTTTTCCACCTTAAATTGGACAAGTCTACATTTGAAGAAGACTTGTTGAATCAATTAGAATTTGGTACATTTATTTATTTATTATTTATTTAGTAACCTTATTTATATCCCGCCTTTCTCTACACCAAGGAGGACTCAAGGCTGCTTACATGTGGCACCTCCACAGTGCCTTAAAACATACAATGTTAACTTAAAAATTGGATTAAAATTAATACATATTAATCATAATCATTATACATTCCAATGTTAAACATGCCATCCAGGGGTCAGAGTCTAAGGCTGTGTTACTCCACCTTCCGAATGCCGCAACCCCCTAATACAGTTCCTCATGTTTTGGTGACCCCCAACACTAAAATTATTTTTGTTGCTACTTCATAACTCTAATTTTGCTACTGTTATGAATCATAATATAAATATCTGAAATGCAGGATGTATTTTCATTCACTGGACCAAATTTGGCACAAAAACCCAATATGCCCAAATTTGAATACTGGTGGGGTTGTGGTGTGGGGGGGGGGGGGTTAATTGATTTTGTCATTTGGGAGTTGTAGTTCCTGGGGTTTATAGTTAATCTACAATCAAAGAGCATTCTGAACTCCACCAATGATGGCATTGAACCAAACTTGGCATACAGAACTCCCATGACCAAAAGAAAATACTGGAAGGGTTTGCTGAGCATCGCAGGAGGCAGAAACCAGATTTTAAGTGGATTTTTTTCTCTAGTGCGATGATGCCCTTTTGGACCTCATCACACTAGAGAATGAATCCACATAAAATCTGGATGCATCCTCCTGCAGTTAAAGGCTCCTCCGTAAACCACAAACCCCAAAATTCTGTGATGAGGGTGAAAGGACGATCACCCATGCTTTCCCTTCTCAATGCGATAAGATTGTAAGACGTCACCGGTTGTAAGACACATACTAAGCTCAGTACCACTAGCAGAAAAAGAGCTTTATTCATATATATAAATGGCACTCCTGGTTCTATGATATGTTCCATTTTTAGATACGTTTGTACGGGGGGGAAGTGTGTCTTAGAATAAAAGAAATACAGTAGTGTTTGCCTTGCTGGAATCTACAAAATAAAAGCAAAACATCTGTAGCCGCACTGAACTGCATTATCTGAGTCACACTGCATTATATGGCAATGGAGATGGGGCTTAGCTTTAGCTAGCTTTAGCCTTATTGTATAGTACTCCCTCGCTACTTCATGGTTTGCTTTTAGTGGACTCGCTGTTTCACGGTTTTCAAAAAATACTGATTTAAAATATATATCGTGGAATTGTTGCTGTTTTGCGGGGGTTTTCAGAAAAGAGTAAAAACTTGGCTCTTCGAGCAAGCATTTGGAACCTCCGAATAAATAGACATACTTGAATTGGAAAATGACCCAGGAACGGCCCAAGACGATGGAACGGATAAGGACTTGAATGAGAGGATATAGTTTTTAGCTTTTAATATTGTTATTATGCACTGTTTTATGTCTAATTGCACTATAATGGTTCTTTTGCTTATCCATGTATGTATTTTTATGGCATTGAATTGTGCAGATTGTGTACACCGCTCTGAGTCGCCTCTGGGCTGATATGAGGGGGGTAGAAATAATGCAAATAATAAATAAATAAATAAATAAATAAATAAATAAATAAATTTTGTCACCACCGCTCTCCAAGGTGCTTTCCCTCCTCAGTCCTCCCTCCCTTCAGCCTTGAAGGGCCTTTCTTCCCTTTCCTTCACTTTATTTTAAGTTAATAAAGACTTTAAATAGTGGATAACTATTAAAATAATGTATAAATATTAAAATAAATATAACATCCCTACATTGTGGTTTTTCACTTATTGCGGAAGGTCCTGGAATGTAACCCACGCAATAAGTTAGGGAACACTATATCGTTTAAGGGCCTGGTTCCAATCATGAATTTTAAACTCATGTTTTGTGCTCATTATATGTTGATATGTTGATCTGTGTATTTTAAATACATACTTCTATGAATACGTTTTAGTATGTGCATATTGTAATGTTTATGATGACTGTGTTTTTTTTAGTTATGTTGTAACCTGCCTCGAGCCATGAAGAAAGGCTATCACGTTGCCAGAAAGAAGGAAGGAAAAAGATCATAGATAGATAGATCTAGTTTCCAACCTGTTGCACAACTGTTTTTAGCATTCTCTTTAAGAAGTCAAGCCAAGGTGCTTAACTGGGCTTCCCATTTCTTTCTTGTAGGTTCCAAAGGTTGATCAGAATGGCAAACTTTAAGGGCCATGCTCTTCCAGGCAGTTTCTTTTTACTCTTTGGCCTCTGGTGGCCAGCGAAGTTTGCATTGAAACACTACAGCATGAAACGGAACAAAAAGGGACGGGCACACCGGAGCTTTGACCATCTGGAGATCATCGAAGGAGCTGTCAAAGTCATCTTTGCAGTGATAGGTGAGCTTAAGCATGACGATTCACCAAATATTATGTTTGTTGTTTATTCAGTCAGTCACTTCTGACTCTTTGTGACCAGCCCAAACCAAATCTCCCTCTTGGCCGTGGCCATCTCCAATTCCTTCAAAGTCAAGCCAGTCACCCCCGGTTCCTTCAAAGTCAAGGATACCATTGATCCATCTTGTCCGTCAGCCCCTCTTCTTTTTTCCTTCAATTTTTCCCTAGCATCATTGTCTTCCCCAACCTTTGCTGTCTTTTCATGATGTGGCCAAAGTACTTCATCTTTACCTCTACTATCCTTCCCTCCAGTGAGCAGTTCGGCTTTATTTCCTGAAGTATGGGCTGGTTGGATCTTCTTGCGGTCCAAGTCACTCTCAGAACTTTCCTCCAGCACTACAGTTCAAAAGCATCTATCTTCCTTCACTCAGCCTTCCTTATGGTCCAGCTCCAACATTCATAGGTTACTACGGGGAATACCATTGCTTTAACTATGTGGATCTTCGTTGCCATCGTGATGCCTCCACTCTTAACTATTCTAGGGTCACCATCAAACACCATTGGTCAATGTTTTCTGATTTCCTGGCCCCAGTCTGCGTCTGCAGTCATCTTTGCACCTATAAATACAAAATCTGTCACTGCCTCCACGTTTTCTCCCTCTATTTGCCAGTTGTCAATCAGTCTACTTGCCACCATTTTGGGTTTTTTTATGTTTAACTGCAACACAGCTTTTGCACTTTCTTCTTTCACCTTGGTTAGAAGGCTCTTCAGCTACTCCTTGCTTTCAGCCATCAAAGTGGTATCATCTGCATACCTACGGTTATTAATGTTTCTTACATCAATTTTAACTCCAGCTTTGGATTCATCAAGCCCTGCACATATGTCAAAAACAAACAGACAAGCATTGCATTGTTTTTTGATGCAATAGAAAAGTTACCTTTCTCCTGAGATAAATGACAGAAAAGTATCTATTTGTCAGTGGTTGAGAAAGATTAAGGAGCCGAGCTGGTACACAGATAAATGTATTTTTTCATCTGTTATCTCCCAGAATTTCCCAGTTGACAACAACATGGTGGATTCTGGAAGTCATCCAAAATCGAATGCACAAATTCTCTACTTCTCAATTCCAAGATGGCCTTTGGACGAATCTTCCTTCTTCAGGGATCCAACCATGTTTTTCCTCTCTATTCTTTAGGGATCCTTGGCGAGCAGTTTGTTCCAGACGGTCCCCACTTGTACCTCTACACCAGAGAGCCATGGAGTTGGGTGAAGATGATGAACTGGCAGCATTGCACCATGTACCTGTTCTTTGGCCTGTCGGGAGTTGTGGATGTCCTCACTTATTGCCCAGCCGGGCTGCCTCTAGGGCTGGATCGGCTCATGCTGGCTATTGCCTTCTTTGTCCAAGGTTGATACCACTGCAGTGATTTTGGGTGGCTCCTTGACATTGTGCAACTATCTCCTCTTTTACTATTGATGGTTCTGCTTTTGTTTTCTCATTTCAGTAGGAGAAAAGAAGAGTAGAAAAATCTAGGAAAGCTTGTTTCTGGTAGCAAGAGTCTTAGAACTGAAGTCAGTAGTGGACCAAACAATGCTGTTGATAGGTGGCTTGGGAATGGGTTAACTGGCCAAACCCAAATGATGCTTCCCAATAGCTCCTTTCATATATCTACAGCAGTGGTTCTCAACCTGTGAGTCCCCAGGTGTTTTGGTCTACAACTCCCAGAAATCCCAGCCAGTTTACCAGCTGTTAGGATTTCTGGGAGGTGAAGGCCAAAACATCTGGGGACCCAAAGGATGAGAAACATTGTCTTACAGAGAGGTGACCAGTGAGATGCCACAGGGTTCGGTCCTGGGCCCAATACTATTCAACAACTTTATCAGTGGCTTAGATGATGGCAGGCTGATCAAGTTTGCAGGTGACACCAAACATGGAGGGAGAACTAATACCCCAGAGGACAGGAACAGAGCTCAAAATGACCTACATGGATTTGAGAGCTGATTGGCCCATACTAACAAAATGAGCAGTACTATACTATGGCAATAAACATTAAATGCATAGATGGTTGATACCTGGCTTCTCTGTGAAAGGGATCTAGAAGTCTTAGTAGACCAGAAGCTGAACATGGGCCAACACAAGCCTTATGAGGAACATCTGAGTGAGCTGGGTCTGTTTAACTTGGAGAAAGGAAGCCTAATAATGACTATATTTAAATATTTGAAAGGATGTCACATTGTGAAGGGGAAGATCTTGTTTTCTGCTGCTCTAGAGACCAGCAGAGCAAATCAAATAATTTATTTCGGTCACAGGAAATAGAAGTCGCATTTTCATACAAACTTGGTACGTTTAGAACATTAAAAATATAAATATAACTACTGACCAGCAGAGCAATGGATTCAAATTGCAGGAAAAGAGAGTCCATCCGAACATTAGGAAAAACTTCTTGGCTATAAGAAGAGCTGTTCAACAGTGGAACTCTCAATCACGGAGTGTAGTGGAGGCTCCTACTTTGGAGGCTTTTAAACATTGACTTGATGGCCATTTCCCAGGGGTTCTTTGATGGTGTTTTGGCTGGGGGTTAGACTAGATGGCCCTTCTGATCTCTTCCAAGTCTATATCCTCTTTTTTGAATGCCTGCATTTCTGAAGATGATGTCCATTTCAACAGGTGTCCTCCTCTACTTCCACGTCCAGAACCGGCCAATGCTGGACCAACACATCCATGCTCTGCTGTTGATTGCTATCTTTGCTACCAGCGCAAGTATTCTGTTGGAAATCTTCCTGCGAGATAACGTTATCCTGGAGCTCTTCCGTGCCACCCTCTGCTTTGTGCAAGGAACCTGGTTTTGGCAGGTTAGCCACCCTCAGATTGCCTTGTTGGGACTGGGTTGCCTCCAGTGTTGTCAAAGCGGCCCAGTGGCTCCACACAAGTTGCTAGAAGGCACTGCTTTTGAGCCAAACCTTCAAATGCTTCTGGGATGGCAGGGATGGACAACCCCTTGACATCTGAGGCTATCATTGGACCCTGGAGCATCTGGCTATCAAGGGCTCATTTAAAAAAACTATTCAAATTTGCCTTAATACCTACTAATGGTGTGTGGGTTGTGTAATGGTATTTTCCCACCCCAACCCTTTTTAACCCAGAACTGACAATATTATATTGTATTATTAGTAGTAGTATTAAATTGAATTACATTATAATATTATTATCAATATTGCATGTATATACAATATGTTATATTATTAGCATAGCACAGTACTAGCATTATATATATTAGCATAGCACAGTACTAGCATTATATATTACTATATTGTGCCACACAACTATACTGTAATATTATTAGTAATATTATATCTATCTATCTATCTATCTATCTATCTATCTATCTATCTATCTATATATATATATATATATAAATGCTCTGTGCATAATGAGTACCTTAAAAACAAAAGAACCAATGAACGAAATCACACCAAATTTGGCAACAAAATTTCTCACAACACAAGGAGTGACCATCACTCAAAAATTATGATTTTGTCATTTGGGAGTTGTAGTTGCTGGGATTTATAGTTCACTTACAATCAAAGAGCATTCTGAACTCCATCAACGATGGAACTGAACCAAACTTGGCACACAGGACTCCCCTGACCAACAGAAAACAATAGAAGAGTTTGGTGGGCATTGACCTTGAGTTTCTTAGTTGTAGTTCACTTACATCTAGAGAGCACTGTGGACTCAAACAATGATGGATCTGGACCAAACTTTGGCACACACTCAATATGCCCAAATATGAGCACAGGTGGAGTTTGGGGGAAATAGACCTTGACATTTGTGAGTTGTAGCTACTGTGATTTATAGTTCACCTACAATCAGAACATTCTGAACCCCACCATCGACAGAATTGGGGCAAACTTCCCACACAGAACCCCATGACCATCAGAAAATGCTTAAGGCCACCCAGTCCTTCCTTCCTGTCCCTCCCTCCTTTCTTTTCCTTCCCTTCCTTCTTTCCCTCCTTCCCTCCCTTTTTCCTTCCTTCCTATCTCTTCTTCCTTCTTCCTTTCCTTCTTTCTATGAAGGGAGTTCTTCATCAGGGAAAGAAAACGTAATCAAAGCGCTCCTGACAAAGAGCCATCCAGTCATAGATATAGATAGACAGATAGAGAGATAGAGAGATAGATATGATTCACACAGAGAGAGATATACTATCATAGATTTGAAAGGTAGCCCTAAAGAAGGACAATTATGTGTTGCGTGTTCCAGAGTAGGCAAACCATACAATCTCCACATCAACATGACAAAGAAACAGCAAAAAAATACTGTTTACCCACACACATAAAGGCATTACATAGATTACAAACCAACACTTTCTCATTACTTTATTTTCCAGATCACCAGACTTGGCCACAGCAACGCGTGGCAGGGGGGCAGCTAGTGTAATATAAAATCTATAATTAATATTATTATACTGTATTATTAGTAGTATTATTATATTGTATTACATTATAATATCACTATCAATATTATGCCCCTATGTTTTTGCATAGAGGATCATACATGTTTCTTTCCTATCCAGATTGGCTTTGTGTTGTATCCACCATTTGGAGGACCAACCTGGGATGAGGCTGATCACGAAAACATGATGTTCATCACCATGTGCTTCTGCTGGCACATTGCCATAGCTATCTCCATGGTGACTGTCATTTATACTCTGGTCCAATGGTACGTTTTCCAGGATATTGGCTCATTTCACTCCAATCTAGTTTTATTTACACAAGATGGCATTGCTCCACATGATCAGCAATGATCATAAAGCAGTTGCAGTCCAGGAGCAAACCTGAAAAGAGCATTGCAACAGCCTCGCCTTGTAAAATAGTCAAAGGTATTGTCGAAGGCTTTCATGGCTGGAATCACAGGGATGTTGTAGGTTTTTCCGGCTATGTGGCCATATTCTAGAAGCAATCTCTCCTGAAGTTTCACCTGCATCTATGGCAAGCTTCCTCAGAGGTTATGATGCCTTCACAACCTCTGAGGATGCTTAACATAGATGCAGGCGAAACGTCAGGAGAGAATACTTCTAGAATATGGCCATATAGCCCTCCTTTCGCCCCTGCCAGTTTCACAAGCTCGCCTTGTGGGCACAAGGGAGAGAGCCTTCTCCTCTGTGACTCCCCAACTCTGGAACTTATTACCTGGAGAGATTAGGAAAGCCCCTACCCTAGAAACCTTTAAAAAGGACCTCAAAACCTGGCTCTTCCGCTGTGCCTTTGGGGAGTAGGTGCACAACCTCACACTATCACCCAGCCGCAATTTTTTTGTCATTGAAGTACATGTCCCGTTCCTTCCCGTCCCCCCCTTTTGTGGGAAAGCTTGGTTCCAAAACCTCGTTTTGAATTGAGCTTCCCTTGCAAATAACCTGCCCCTCCTTTTATCTCACCCGAGTTTTTAATCTTTTTTAATCATTGTATTCTGCACCTGTGGCCCGCCCATTGCCACTGTGATTGTAATTTTATATTGCTAATATATTTATATGTTTTTTTCTTTTATTATTATGTAATTTATGATGTTGTTTGTTGTTTGTGTTTTTGGTTTTACTCTGTTGTAATTTGTTATTTGGGCTTGGCCTCATGTAAGCCGCCCCAATTCCCCGTTGGGGGAGATGGTGGCAGGGTATAAATAACGTTGTTTATTATTATTATTATTATTGTTGTTATTATTATTATTATAAGGAGCCCCCGGTGGCGCAATGGGTTAAACCCCTGTGCCAGCAGGACTGAAGACCGACAGGTCGCAGGTTCAAATCCGGGGAGAGTGCGGATGAGCTCCCTCTGTCAGCTCCAGCTCCTCATGCGGGGACATGAGAGAAGCCTCCCACAAGGATGGTAAAAACATCAAAAAATCTGGGCCTCCCCTGGGAAATGTCATTACAGACAGCCAATTCTCTCCACCAAAAGCGACTTGCAGTTTCTCAAGTCGCTCCTGACACGACCAAATTTTTATTATTATTATTATTATTAAGCCCAAAAAACCTACAACAACTCAGTCAAAGGTACTTTGGGGGGAAATGGCAAAGAGAACCACAGGAGTCACTGCAATTTAATAACTGCAAAAGAAATTCATTACAAAACACCAAACAAATATCACCGGCCCATACACATTTTGGAGCCTCAAATGTTAGCCTTGTTTCTGGGTATATTTGATTTGTGGATTCCAAAAATGGCACCAGTTTCCCCCTCTCAGCTGTAGTTTTTGAGATCCAGAACACATGGCATCTACCAGTCACCCATAGAAAACGATAAGATATCTAAGAAACTAGAGCTGATGTTGCCCATCCAAAGCACTTTTCTGAATCCCCAAATAACCCTAGGAACAGGCCTAAAATCCAAGGCAGCAAGAAAAATAATATTTTTGTTGGGCTGTGTCATTGGTTACAATTGCAAATACTAATTTCCTTTAGCAATAACTAAAGATTTCTTGCTGTCAATTAGACATGAGACAGGAATTGGAAGTAAGCGTGCTGCTCTCCAGCTGCCTTGCCAGAAAAATGACTTTTCATAGTACCAATGAGAGTTATTTTTGTCCCTGTCCATAGCTTTGTCCAGAGATGTAGAACAAGCAATAGACGAATACAGATCCGGCTCAGCCTCCAGAAACAGAAGAACGCAAAAGACAGCTGCGCTTTCCTCTTAAACGCCTCTGATGAAGAATGAGTGAAGATGCCGGCCTGCATTGGTCTTGTTATGCTTCATCAAAATCAACCCTTTGTTTTTCTAATTAAAATAGAGCTGTAACAAAGTAATTATGGTGTGACATCATCATGTGATTTGTCTACTATTTTTAAATAACACTAAATGTAAAATTGTTCCTGCTTTGTAAAATAACACTATGGCAGTAAGTAGCACATTAATATGGGGTACTGCAGGAAAGTGAAGGAGAGTTCCTTTGGAGTAGTTAAAGGCACCTGCTGCTCCCTTAAGTGCTCTAACTGGAGGTCAGCTGTGACCGGCAGTACTGCAGAATTCGAAGAGGCACAAATGGAGGGTGAAAGGGAGAAATGAGGGAGGTGCGTCAAGCCAACCCTGCTTGCTTCACTTATGAACCCACCGCCAAGACCTAAGACTTGGAGGACCATCATCCTCGGGCAACGAGGGATAGCCTAAGTAAAAAAGCTGCCGTAATGTGCTGCAGAAGCAACACTGATATTTCACCAAATGCAAAACCTGGCGGCTTTTGAGGCTAGAAAGGTTGGAGAACAGATAAACCTCCCTTAAAACCTGCCCTGGTGAAGGAGTTCCTTTCTATACTGTATTCTGCTCTCCATCTGGCCCTCCTTTTTCCTCCAGAGGAAAGCTGCAAGTTCTTTAGCATCATCAGCACTGGATGGGGAAGGAGAAGTTTTCAGTATGTGATTAGTATTATAGAATCCTAGAGTTGGAAAAGTCTTTGAATTGCACCGCTTTACTGTATTTCCCCTTCATTCATTCAATTGTGTCCAATTCTGTGCACCACAATTGAAGAGAGATATTGACAAGCTGGAATGTGTCCAGAGGAGGGCGACTAAAGTGATCAAGGGTCTGAAGAACAAGCCCTATGAAGAGCGGCTTACGGAGCTGGGCATGTTTAGCCTAAAGAAGAGAAGGCTGAGAGGAGATATGATACCCATGTATAAATATGTGAGAGGAAATCATAGGGAGGAGGGAGCAAGTTTGTTTTCTGCTGCCCTGGAGACTAGGACGCAATGGAACAATGGCTTCAAACTACAAGAAATGAACATTAGGGAGAACTTCCTGGCTGTGAGAGCCGTTCAGCAGTGGAACTCTCTGCCCTGGAGTGTGTGGAGGCTCTTTCTCTGGAAGTTTTTAAACAGAGGCTGGATGGCCATCTGTCAGGGGTGCTTTGAATGCAATTTTCCTGCTTGGCAGGGGGTTGGACTGGATGGCTCATGAGGTCTTTTCCAACTCTATGATTCTATGAATCGCTTTGAGGAGCAGAGGAAAGAAGGAAGGAACAATAAAGAAAAGAAGGGCGGGAGAGAAATGAAAAAAAGGAAAGAAGGCAAAAAGGGAAGGGAAGAAAGAAATTAGGAAAAAAGGAGGGTCTTCTCCATAGACCCAGGGCCAATGACAGATGTCAACATCGTCAACACACATGACCCTACATAGCAGGACTGTCAACAGTTGATGACATCCCTCCTTACTGTAAGTCAGGCATGTAGCCGGGGGGGGGGCTTCAGCCCCCCCCCCCCGAAATTCTCATGGTGGTCCGCGAGAAGGCCTTACTGGTACATTATTTAGACTGTTATGTTTATTCATATCATGATCTGATCACCATGCTCAATATATCCCATATGCATGGGGGTATTGGGGTAACGATACAAAAGGTTTGCTAGGGTAGACCCTCTTTCACTCAGACTCAGAGCCCCCCCCCCCCCGAACCAAACTCAGCCCCCCCCCCCCCCCCCGAAACAAAATCCTGGCTACGGGCCTGCTGAACGTAAAAGGATTGTAGCAGCTATGAAGTGACTGACTGAGGCTAGAAGATACCTTGCTATTAATGATGTTGACCACATGAGGGAGAATTATCCACTCTGGAATCCTGATATAAGCAAGCCAATTGACTCTGATTCATTTGTATGACCAGTTAATGATTCAAGGCCTTGCAGAAGCAAGAAAAAGTCCACTAACCTGTCTAAAGTAAAAGAAATAAAGTAAGGTGCAGATGAAAGTCCAGATGCTTATGTGCACGGGTGGCTCAACCCATACGCAAAGTAAGCATTTGCAGTATAGTTGATTTTGCCCAGGGGCGCTCTTGGGGGAAAATAGACCTTGACATATGCGAGTTGTAGTTACTGGGATGTATAGTTCACCTACAATCAAAGAGCATTCTGAACTCCACCAATGATGGAATTGAACCAAATATGGCACACAGGACTCCCATGACGAACAGAAAATATATATCAGTGATTGGTTGGGGGTGGGGGGCAAAATACTGTTTGCTTACCGTTGAAAATTACCTAGGGCCGCCTCTTCCTACGTGGAAAGGCTGTTAAATCGGCCGATGGAAAATAAAAAATTGCAGACCTCAGGAACTCTCTTTGTCTCATTTCCTCAATCCTTCTCCTTACCATTTCAAATTATTTGCAATTTCCCCTCAAAGAAATGTTTATAACAGATTATAATTTTGGAATATGGCGCAGCTGGTTGGGAATAGGCTGCATCAAAATCACTACTGACCAAAAGGTCATGGGTTCGAAGCCAGCCTAGGTTGGAGTAAGCTCCGGACTATTTGTCTAGCTTGCTGTAAACCTTTATTTATTTGTTTGTTTGTTTGTTTGTTTGTTTGGACGGTTTACAGAGGCAGCAATTCAATGCCCACAACACCATAAAAACATTTGAAAACATTAACATATAATATAAAATCGTAACAAAATTAATAAAGCATAGATAATTTACATCTCCAAGTTAAAAACTTTGTCCAGTCTTGTCATCCAGTAGTCCCAATTTCCTATGTCTGTTACACTGCATTTTCAAACGCTTGCTCAAACAACCAAGTCTTAACCTTTTTCCAGAATGTTAAAAGGAAGGGGGCCAATCTAATGTCCCTAGGAAGTGCATTCCATAGCTGAGGGGCCACTACTGAGAAGGGCCTGTCTCTCGTCCCCGCCAAACGTAATTGTGATGCAGGCGGGATCGATAGCAGGGCCTCCCCAGATGATCTTAAAGTCCTAGATGGTTCATAAGATGGACCTTTTGTAGCCCAAAAGACAGTTGCATCTGTCAAGTAGGAAATTTAGGTACCGCTTATGCGGGGTGGCTAATTTAACTAATTTACGACACCATAAAAATCTCCAGCAGCGTACAAAAGAATGAGGAAGTACTCCAGCGATGTCACAAGTGGACAGTGAAGTGACAGCTTCCCCAGTGGCCTCATGTAAGCCACTTCGACTCCCTTGGGGAGATGGTGGCGGGGTATAAATAAAGTATTATTATTATTATTATTATTATTATTATTATTATTATTATTATTATTTTGAAGCGTACCCTCATGAAACTGGAAAGTTAAATAGCCTCTGTGTGTCTGTCTATATATGTTGTGTGTCTATGGCATTGAATGTTTGCCATGTATATGTGCATTGTGATCCGCACTGAGTCCCCTGCGGAGTGAGAAGGGTGGAATATAAATACTGTAAATAAATACAATATTCTGCATTTCCTTTCCCCTACAAAGGCCCCCTTGACATCTTATAATTTTGGAATGTTACGGAAGTATGTGTACCCTTAACAGATTTAACTGTGTTATGTATATACCATAACAGTTTATAATCTTGGTTTGGGCTAGATTAAATAGATACATAGATTTCTGGATTCGGAAATGACCCCCAGGGGCATGCAGTCCAATCCCCTTCTGCCACGCAAGTGCACACAATCAAAGCACTCTTGACAGATGGCCATCCAGCCCCTGCATGAAAATCTCTGGAGGAGACACCACCGAACTCCTGGGCAGCATATTTCACAGCTGTTATCATCAGGATGTTCTTCCTAATGTTTAGGCATTTTTTTTTCCTCCGGTGCTGGAAATAATCCATTAATTTTGATGCTTAATTTTGACCCTTCTGATGCTACGGTTCGGCAACCGGTCTGCATGCAAATGACTCCTATTTGTGAGAATGAGTGCATGGTGGCCACGGCATGGATGTGGTCTTCTTGTTCCTCCATTAGAGATTTCCAACGAAACAAATCCCTGGCACTGAAGCCCCAGAATTTTAAAGGCACATTCTGTGCCTACTGTGATGATTGCACAACCTTGAAAAAGCTGTTATTATTTATTTCCTATATTTGTACCCGGGGAGGGGAATGGGACTCAGGGCAGCTTGACAACAAGCACCATATGATACAATCAGCATCATAAAACATTCAACATATACATTAGAAACATTAAAATCGTTAATTAAAAACAGTTAATTAAAACAGTTAATTAAAAACAATTAATTAAACAATCCAAGTCTGGGTCAATTCATTCTCACGAGTTACCTAAGCCTTCTTTCCACTTGGTACTATTCACTGGTCAAACGCCTGGTCCCATAGCCAAGTCTTAAGCTTCCTTCTAAAAGACAGGAGAGAGGTGGCCAGTCTGATGTCCCTGGGGAGAGAGTTTCACAGATGGGGGGCCACTGCTGAGAAGGCCCTGTCCCGTGATGGCGGTGGGATTGAGAGCAGGGCCTCTCCAGATGATTTAAACTTCATGATGGTTCATAACAGGAGATACGTTCGGACATATAGTCTGGGCCAGAACCATTAAATTCACTCACAAGGAAATTTCGGAAATTTCTTTAATGCATTACACTCTTAATACTATTCTTACAATTGAAAACAAATCCTCATTTTTTATACAAACGGTTTGCTGCTTTAGTACAATAATGGTGTAATTCTGACCTTTGGAGGGAACTATCCATGTACTACATTGAAGAACTTTCCAAAGATTGCGCCTCCTCTTGATGGAGTGAGCTCCCGCTGATAGCCCTAGCTCCTACCAACCAAGCAGTTCGAAAACATGCAAATGTGAGTAGATAAATAGATACCGCTTTGGTGGGAAAAGGCAAAAGATGCTCCAAGCAGTCATGCTGTCCACACGGCCAGGGAAAGTGTCTACGGACGCAGACTCCTCGGCTTGGAAATGGAGAAAGAGCACCTTCTCCAGAACCGGAGATGAAAGGAGAAGCCTTTGTCTTTGTCTGTGTATTTGTGTCTCATTGTGTGACATTGTAATCAAGTCACTGAATGTTTGCCTGTGTCTGTTTATGTACTGTAATCCGCTCTGAGTCCACTCAAGGAGAAGTGCGGAATATAAATAAAGTGTTGTTGTTGTTGTTGTTGTTGTTGGCTGTCCCTTTAACAAAGCAGCAATGACTTTTAATTTATTAGTATTCTTCAAATATTTTAAAGATAATAATCACATTGTGATGTCGTGCCACAATTGTGTTGGTAAGCTTATTCATTTTTTAAAAATAATAATTGCTTGTTAAGTCGTAAAAGACCGATATAAGGTGGTATCTTCGCTCATTCTTCATCCGATGCGTTTAAGAGGGAAGCGTGGTCTTCTTTCGCCTTCTTCTCTTTGTGTTGACTCAGCTTGATCTCTGTCAGTCCACTGCTTGCTCTACATCTCTGGATGAAGCTACGAACAATGACAAAAAGAGATCCCGTTAATCAGAGACATCGGTGCAATTAAATTTTTCTTGCAAGGCAACCAGAGGGCAACAAGCCTGCCTCTGATTTCCTTTACAATCCCTCATTTCTCGTCTATGGCAAGAGATCTTTAACTATTGCAAATAGAACGAAGACTTTGCAAATGGGCATGCCATGGTGGAGCTAGCTGGGAGCTAGCTGCATTAAATCACTACTGACCAAGAGGTTCAGAGCCAGGCTGGGTCAGAGTGAGCTTCTGGCCATTGGTCTAGTTTGCTGTCGACCTATACAGCCAGAAAGACAGTTGCATCTGTCAAGTAGGATAGGAAATTTAAGTAAAGGTTGTCCCCTGACATTAAGTCCAGTCATGTCTGACTCTGGGATGTAGTGCTCATCTCCATTTCTAAGCCATTGTCCATAGACACCTCCAAGGTCATATGGCCAGTATGACTGCATGGAGCGCTGTTACCTTCCTGTCGGAGCAGTACATATTGATCTACTCACATTTGCATGTTTTCGAACTGCTAGGTTGGCAGAAGCTAGGGCGGACGCCGATCCCCGGTATCGAACCTGCAACCTTTCGGTCAAGAAGCTCAGCAGCTCAGCGCCTTAACGCACTGCACCACTGGGGGCTCCTGGAAATTTAGGGAATTTAGGTACTGCTTTATGCGGGGAGGCTAATTTAACTAATTTATGATGCTATAAAAAACTTTCCAGCAGCATGCAGAAAAATTAGGAAGTACTCCATCAAAAAGGGCTCGGTGTCACAATGGATGGTGAAGTGGCAGTTCCCCCTGTGGCTGGAATTGAGCCGGAATGGAGCATACCCTCATGAAGCTGGAAAAGTTTGGACACAGCTGGAATGTTAAATTGTCTCTGCGTCTGTCTATATATGCTGTACGTCTAACTGGTATTGAATGCTTGCCATGTATATGTGCATAGTAATCCACCCTGAATCCCCTGCGGGGTGAGAAGGGTGGAATATAAATACTGTAAATAAATAATAAAATAAATGAATGCAACCAATTATTCATTCTGTATTGCAATTAATTCCTTTTGCGATTGCCAAAGTAGATTGTAATGCAACAAGGGATAACTTCATTTTTTTTTTTTTTGGTGGGAGAATGTGTACAGTTCCAGATATATTACAGTGTTTTTTTTTTAAAATCCCTGCTTAAGTATGTTTTGTACTTTGCACCAGTAGTTTGCAATGTTGCAACATTGCTTTAAATATACTAAGTTAGTTTTGCGTGGATAATAAATCCACACAAAAAGCAATAATAAAAAACAATAATTGTAACCATGAATAACCATTATGGGGCCTGGAAACATAAGCAATACATTGGCTGGGATTAGGAGTACAGGATCCACACAAAAGTGGGAAAATACAGATAAAGTCACTATTTGTTTAATGGAGAAAACACTTCTCTAGGAATCCTTATGTTAGTGTTTCTCAAACTTCCTAATGCCACGACCCCTTAATACAGTTCCTCATGTTGTGCTGACCACCAACTATAACATTATTTTCGTTGCTACTTCATAACTGTAATGTTGATACTGTTATGAATTGTAGTGTAAATATCTGATGTGCAGGGTATATTTTAATTCACTGGACCACATTTGGCACAAATACTCAATATGCCCAAATTTGAATACTGGTAGGGTTTTGTCATTTGGGAGTTGTAGTTGCTGGGATTTATAGTTTGCCTACAATCAAAGAGCATTCTGAACTCCACCAACGATGGAACTGAACAAAACTTGGAACACAAACCGAAAGTCCTGGAAGGGTTTGGTGGGCATTGACCTTGAGTTTGGGAGTTGTAGTTCACATACATCCAGAGAGTGCTATGGACTCAAACAATGATGTATCTAGACCAAACTTGGCACGAATATTCAATATGCCCAAATGTGAACACTGGTGGAGTTTGGAGGAAATAGACCTTAAAATTTGGGAGTTGTAGTTGCTGGGATTTATAGTTCACCTACAATCCTTTGGGGAGATGGTGGCGGGGTATAAATAAATTATTATTATTATTATTATTATTATTATTATTATTATTAATAATCAAAGAGCATTCTGAATTCCACCAACAATGGAATTGAACCAAACTTGGCACACAAACAGAAAATCCTGGAAGGGTTTGGTGGGCATTGACCTTGAGTTTTGTAGTTGTAGTTCACCTACATCCAGAGAGCACTATGGACTCAAACAAAGATGCATCTGGACCAAACTTGGCATGGATATTCAATATGCCCAAATGTGAACACTGGTAGAGTTTGGAGAATATAGATCTTGACATTTGGGAGTTGTAGTTGCTGGGATTTATAGTTCACCTACAATCAAAGAGCATTCTGAACTTCACCAACTATAGAATTGGGCCAAACTTCCCACACAGAACCCCCATGACAATAGAAAATAGTGTTTTCTAATGGTCTTTGGTGACCCCTCTAAAAACCCCTCACAACCCCCTTCAGGGGTCCCGACACCTCGTTTGAGACACTGCCTTATTTCCTTCAGAATGGTTCTATGGCCACTGTCCAATGAGATGACCACAGAAGTTCACTGGAAGGTCTAATGGTTCCTATGGAAGGACATCTGAAAGGCCTGAAAGGACATCTGGAGAGGCAACCCAATGTATCTGGATAGCAAATAAATTCCTTAGTTGTTTCATCTCTTGCTACAAGAGATGCTCTTGCTCTTCATCTCTTGCTACAAGCCTTCCTGATCTGAGAAATATTACAAAACAGCTATACAATCTGCCTAAGAAAAGGCACATTCACTTCTGTGGTTGTCTTCCCCACTTTGTCATCTTCCTCCCCTTTTGTCTCCTTAACAAGGTTCTTTCGATGCTCTTTTGCACCTTGGCTGCAACTGCTCATTTTTTATTTGTTTGCCAAGACATACAGAGGCACTGACTCCCATGAGTTACGATGCCATCTTGTGTCAGGAAAGTTAGATTGGAGCGAAATGAGCCAACATCCCAGGAAAACGTACCAGTGGACCAGAGTATAAATGAGAGCCACAATAAGGATAGCTACAGCATAGTGCCAGCAGAAGCACATGGTGATAAACATCATGTTTTCGTGGTCCTCCTGATCCCAGGCTGGCCCTCCAAATGGTGGAAACAGCACAAAGCCAATCTGGATGGAAAAGAAACATGTGTGATCTTCCATGCAAAAACACAGGGGCATCATATTGATTATGATATTATAATGTAATACAATATGCTACTACTAATAATAATACAGTATAATAATATTAATTATAGATTATACATTACATATAATACTGTATTACTAATAATTTTACAGTATAGTTGTATGGCACAATATAGTAATATATAATGCTAATATTGTGTTATTCTAATAATATAACATGTATATACATGCAATATTGATAATAATATTATAATGTAATAAAGTATAATATTACTAATACTACAGTATAGTGGTATGGCACAATATAGTAATGTATAAAGCTAATATTGTGTTGTGCTAATAATATAACATATTTTATATACATATAATATTATAATGTAATACAATATATACTACTACTAATTATATAATAAAATAAAATAATATGAATTATATATTATATATTACATGTAACATTACTAATAATATTACAGTATAGTGGTATGGTGCAATATAGTAATATATAATGCTAATATTGTGTTATGCTAATAATATAACATATTTTATATGCATATAATATTGATAATAATATTATAATGTAATACAATATATACTACTACTACTAATATAATAAAATAAAATAATATGAATTATATATTATATATTACATGTAACATTACTAATAATATTGCAGTATAGTGGTATGGCACAATATAGTGATATATAATGTGAATATTGTGTTATGCTACTAATATAACATATTTTATATACATATAATATTGATAATAATATTATAATGTAATACAATATATACTACTACTAATAATATAATAAAATAAAATTATTTAATTATATATTATATATTACATGTAACATTACTAATAATATTACAGTATAGTGGCATGGCACAATATAGTATTATATAATGCTAATATTGTGTTATGCTAATAACATATTTTATATACATATAATATTGATAATAATATTATAATGTAATACAATATATACTACTACTAATAATATAATAAAATAAAATAATATGAATTATATATCATATTACATGTAACATTACTAATAATATTACAGTATAGTAATATATAATGCTAATATTGTGCTATGCTAATCATATAATCTATTGTATTTACATATTGTGCTATGATAATAATATAACATATTTTATATACATATAATACTGATAATAATATTATAATGTAATACAATATATACTATTACTAATAATAATATAATAAAATAAAATAGTATGAATTATATTACATGTAACATTACTAATAATATTACAGTATAGTGGTATGGTGCAATATAGTAATATATAATGCTAATATTGTGCTATGCTAATCATATAATCTATTGTATTTACACATTGTGCTATGCTAATAATATAACATATTTTATATACATATAATACTGATAATAATATTATAATGTAATACAATATATACTACTACTAATAATATAATAAAATAAAATAATATGAATTATATATTACATGTAACATTACTAATAATATTACAATATAGTGGTATGGTGCAATGTAGTAATATATAATGCTAATATTGTGCTATGCTAATAATATAATCTATTGTATTTACATATAACTTGTAAGCCATTCTGAGTCTCAGGGTGAAAGAGGACGGGGTATAAATTTAGTAAATAAATAAATAAATAATATTAAGTGTGCAGGGGTTCTCTGCAAATAGAGTAAACAGTCAGCACAAATAGAGTAAACAGTCGCACCTGTTTTGTCATTGCACAGTGCAGAGCAGTTTATAAATGTCTTTTCATCATCCTTTCTATCGTGAAATAAAGTCATAATCTCCCCAATTCTGAGCAAAGAGATCAGGCTCAGATCTGGATATTCCATAACTGATAAGCCATCACTGATGGGTGAAAGTCCCTCTCCCTTTGAGTCACCTGTTCCACCTCATAATGAGGAAAAGACCTCAGAAGGTGACCTTAAGGTCCAGGTGAGTAAACAAGGAAACAGGTGATTATAGGGAGCCCTTGGTATACACTGGAGTTTGGTTATAGTGGTTGTTAAGAGCACTTTGAATATGTTTTTAAATCAACAATTGATTGCCAAGTGCCCTAAGGTCCAAAGAAGGCCCCAGATTTCAGGCTGTTGCCCACCTCAACTATTCCAGAAATAACTGAACATTTAGCATTTAAAAAGTGTGAGCCTTCCGGCAACTTGCGTGGAGCAATTTGGCCACTTCGACATTACCAGCAGCAACCCAGTCCAAACAAAGCAATCTAAAGGGGGCCAACCTGCCAAAACCAGCTCCCTTGCAGAATGGTGAGGCTGGAACGGAAGAGCTCCAGGATAACATTATCTCGCAGGAAGACTTCCAACAGAATGCTGGCGCTACCACCAAAGATGGCAGTCAGTAGCAGAGTATGGATGTGTTGGTCCAGCATTGGCCGGTTGTGGACGTGGTAGTAGAAGAGAAAGCCTGTTGGAATGGACATCATCTTTAGAACGGCAGCCATTACAAAAAGTGTCTATATAGAGGGAAGGGATGGAGGAGGTCATTGGGGATGATAGGGGAGATCTAGCAACACAGATACCAGACAAGTAACTGAATAAACAAGTTTACCATGGTGCTGCTCAGCTAAAGTTCTTATGTCATTTCTTTGAAGTATAGCACTAGTTCTTTGTAGGAGAAAATTCTAAGCACCTTTCCAATTTATAAATTCTAGGATTCTTTAAGATGGAGGACTTAGTCAAAATAGTTCTCAAAACACCCACATGGGAGCAAGTGCGGTTTCTTTCAGGGAAGTTGGTGAAAAGGTCTAGGGATGACCATTACATCAGTTGTGGCTGCATTAGGTTGCTCACCCTATTTGTTTTGGAATATCACTTAGAAATAATTAATTAGGCAACATTAATAAAGTGTTGTCTGGTTATTCCATCTCTTGCGACCTCATCGCATTAATGAGGCTGTGTGGGGCAATTCGTCAGTCTCAGTGATGAATTTGCAAGTCAGCAGGACAATCCTGGCACCCTGAACCCGGCCTTGCTTCACCATCACTTTGTGCTTTTCCTGCATATTGAGCAATTGGACTAGGTGGCCCATGTGGTCTCTTCCAACTCTATTATTCCATGATTCTATGATTCAATCACACGTGGGGAAGCATCACTACATGGCTTTCCTCTGTGCTGGCCCCGTTGTTCCTTACAGAATATGGGAAGTGTCATATGTTCTGCAGTTGATGGTGGTTGGTGATGTAAGGGTTAATGTGAGTATTAGTTCTAGAGGGTTTGGTGATCTGTAAGTGGGAGTTCATGGGTGAAAGCAATTAGGGGTGGAGGTGTGCAGGAGATGGGTTGCAGCTGGGTGTTACTTGATTTAAGGAGCTAACCTTGAGACTGATCTTTGGGAGAAAAGTATCTCTTGTATTTTGGTGGTGGATGTTGCTGGTTTCCCCCCAGATCTGTTGGATTTTTCGGTATCCTGACCTGTCTCCTGTAATCTTGGAATCCTGGAACCTTGAACCTTTGGACTGGCTTTTGATTACGGTATAAACTCTTGATCCCTGGACTTTCTTTATTGAACTCTCAGCATTTGACCACTGAACTGGACCCTTTTGACTACAGAGTTGTTTTTGCTATCTTTATGTTTTATATTTTGGTCTATTAAAACAGCCAGCAAGTAAGTGCTGTTTTAAATAAACTGTTTGATAAAACTGGGAGTTTGATTCATCTCTACCTAAATAAGGCAGAGCCCTGGCAACATGACAGGAAGCCTCCCATGTTCTGGGCACAGCACTGTAGGATGCTTGTGCCCCAATTGATCAACAGAGCCTCGTTGGAGGTTGTTAGAATCATAGAATCAAAGAATCAAAGAGTTGGAAGAGACCTCATGGGCCATCCAGTTCAACCCCCTGCCAAGAAGCAAGAATATTGCATTCAAATCACCCCTGACAGATGGCCATCCAGCCTCTGTTTAAAAGCTTCCAAAGAAGGAGCCTCCACCACACTCCGGGGCAGAGAGTTCCACTGCTGAACGGCTCTCACACTCAGGAAGTTCTTCCTCATGTTCTTCCTCATGTTACAGTAAGTTGTAGCAGGATCAAGTGTGTGTCAAAGAAAAACCTTATGACGTTAGTTATTATGTACAGCTGGTAATGTAGGTCAGCCAGCATGGTGGGGTATAACTGTATGGATTTTAGAATACAGTTTGGAGAAGCAATATGCTATTCTGAGGAGAAGCAATATGCTGTAATGCTGCTATGCTCTAACAGTGATGCTCTTTGCTATGGTGGAATAGCTGTTTACTCAAGATTTATGTTTTGCTCTCTCATTTGAATGAAGATGAAGAAGCCTTATTCTGTGTTACTTACAAGGACTATGTAAGTTTGTTGCACTGTTTGATTTTGTATGCAACATTGCAAGTTTATGCCTCTGCTGATAAGAGTAAAGTTTTTCTGTTCCTTTTTCCTCTTGTTTGTGTGTCTTTTGCATGGGACTTGGCTAAAACACACTTTGCATAACAGAGGTCAGCCTGCATTGTGTGATGGGTAGTGTGGGGCTCCATGGATCAACTGGGGTGCAAGCTTTCTATGAGGCGTGCAGCCCTCACCCCCATATGATGAAGTTCTTGGTGAGCAATCCACTGATCAAGCTATTTTGCTTCTTCTCAGAGATTCATACCTCAGTGGTCAAACTTGGTGTTTAATTTCTAGTTACCAAAAGGAAGACAATTGCGTGGATGAAGACAATTGCGTGATATGGAAACCAGATACCTTCCACCTTTTAGAACACATGTCCTATAAACATATTAAAGATATTTTCTAGCCAGAACTTTTGGCCAAGGCCACACTGGCTACCTCCTTTTATGTCTCTCTTCTCTTGGAAAGGGAAAACAAAAACAGAACCATCAAGGAGTGAAAGATGAGATAGATGAGATAGTTACACAATGTCTAGGAGCCATTGATTCCGATACACCCAAAATCACTGCAGTGGCACCAACCTTCGATAAAGACAGCTATGGCCAGCATGAGCCGATCTAGCCCTAAAGGCAGTCTGGCAGGGCAATAGGTGAGGATATCCACAACTCCTGACAGGCCAAAGAACAGGTACATGGTGGAGTGTTGCCAGTTCATCATCTTCACCCAACCCCATGGCTCTCTGTTGTAGAGGTACAGGTGGGGACCGTCTGGAACAAACTGCTCAGCCAGGATCCCTAAAAAATAGAGAGAAGGAAAACATGAATGGATCTCTCTAGAAAGAAGGTTCATCCAAAGGGCAAACTCAAAGAGCAATCTTGGAATAGAGAAGCAGAGAATTTGTGGTCCATGTCTGCATTAGACTTTGAACTATGACATCCAGAATCCACCATGTCTTTGCCCACTGAGAAATTCTGAGAGATATAGTCCAAAACAAATTACATCCTAAAGAGACATTAAGTCAAGTCGTGTCCGTCTCTGGGGGATGGCGCTCATTTCCATTTCAAGATGAAGAGCCAGTGTTGTCCATAGACACCTCCAAAGCCATGTGGCCAGCATGACTGCATGGAGCATTGTTACCTTCCTGCTGAAGTGGTACCTATTGAACTACTCACATTTGCATGTTTTCAAATTGTTAGGTTGGCAGAAGCTGGGGCTGACAGCAGAAGCTCACCCTAGTCCCCAGATTTGAACTCCCCACCCTTTTGGTAAGCAAATTCAGCAGCTCAGCGGTTTAACCCGCTGTGCCATTGGGGGTTCATACTTATAAATATATGTCTATTTCAATAAATACACAAATACATAAACAAACAAATTACATTTCTATGTACACCAGGCTTTATTCCAACTCCTAAATACTTCCTGACAGTAAAAAGAAAACCATCTGCCATTTAACCACATTTAAGGAGAGCATCATGTTTCTGTGATTCAGGCTGCTTCTAAATATAGAACTCCAATGCTTGCTTATTTGTTTCTGAGGTTTGCTCGCAGCACTTTGCTTTCAAAAAGCCCACAAACATTATAATTTAGCTGAAGACCTTTTTATTAATCACAAATGATTGAAAAGTAATGATTCATTTAAACAACAAAGGCGAACCGAAACACAAAAGATCAAAGCAAATTGATACACGTCAATTAACACAAATCCACACTAGCTTTCAAACAGTTCCGAAAGGGATTTGGGACCACACAGTTAACTGGATGTTATTAGGTAAAAGTTTAGACCACTACCGACAAAAACTGAGCAGCAGTTCTATTTAGAAATGTGGTCATGATTTCAAGTACTTCTTAGAAAGAAGCTACATATGCTGGGAGTCCTTTCCCTTTAAAACAGTGGTTCACAATCTGTGGTCTATGGACCACCAGTGGTTCCCAAGAACTAAACTATGGTCCATGGCCTCACCATTACTACTACACTGTTGCAACAAGAGCTACAGATCTCACAAAACCCTCTTATAGTGCCGAGGCAATGGAGATGTCGGGAGGGGAGAGGCTGACCACCAACGCAAGGTGGGACAACAAGCCTCCTGACTGCTGCTTCTCCTTCTTCCCCCTGAGCGGAGCCTTTCCACGTGGTGCCTGGAAGTGTGGGAACCTTGGTGTCTAAATTTTTTGGGCTGTTCCTGGGGTTATTTGGGGTGTTGATTTGGAAAATTGCATTGGATAGACCACATCAGCTCTAGGTTATTAAATATGGTTTTCTGCGGGCAAGCAGATGGCGACTACTAAATGGTGACTACTAGATGACTACTAGAGCTCATGTAGTCTATCCAATGCAATTTTCTGAATCAGCACCCTAAATAACCAAACCGAATCTAATGTTGACCAAAAACAGATTTGTAAACCTTTCAGTACTAATGTTGGAGAGTGGTCCCTAGTCAAAGTGGTCCCTGGTCAAGTGGTCGCTGGTCAAGTGGTCCCTGGTCAAAGTGGTCCCTGGTCAAAGTGGTCACTGGTCAAAGTAGTCCTTGGTCATGTGGTCCCTGGTCAAAGTGGTCCCTGATCAAAGTGATCCTTGGTCAAGTGGTCCCTGGTCAAGTGGTCCCTGGTCAAGTGTTCCCTGGTCAAAGTGTTCCCTGGTCAAAGTGGTCCCTGGTCAAAGTGGTCCTTGGTCAAGGGGTCCCTGGTCAAAGTGGTCCTTGGTCAAGTGGTCCCTGGTCAAGTGGTCCCTGGTCAAGTGGTCCCGGGTCAAAGTGATCCCTGGTCAAAGTGGTCCCTGGTCAAAGTGGTCCTTGGTCAAGTGGGCCCTGGTCAAAGTGGTCCTTGGTCAAGTGGTCCCTGGTCAAAGTGGTCCCTGATCAAAGTGGTTCTTGGTCAAGTGGTCCCTGGTCAAAGTGGTCCCTGGTCAAAGTAGTCCTTGGTCATGTGGTCCCTGGTCAAAGTGGTTCTTGGTAAAGTGGTCCTGGGTCAAAGTGGTCCCTGGTCAAAGAGGTTCCTGGTCAAATTGATCCCTGGTCAAAGTGGTTCTTGGTCAAGTGGTCCCTGGTCAAAGTGGTCCCTGGTCAAAGTGGTCCCTGGTGAAGTGGTCCCTGGTGAAGTGGTCCCTGGTCAAAGTGGTCCCTGGCCAAGTGGTCCCTGGTCAAGTGATCCCTCGTCAAATTGATCCCTGGTCAAAGTGGTTCTTGGTCAAGTGGTCCCTGGTCAAAGTGGTCCCTGGTGAAGTGGTCCCTGGTCAAAGTGGTCCCTGGTCAAAAAAGGTTGAGAACCACAGCTTTAAAAGCATTGATTTTGTAGATGATCCTGGATAAAGCAAATGGAGCATAACAGATTGTTCCTACAGATCTTTGCCCTTTCCTTGGCCAACTGGATGCCAAGACTTGAAGGCCAATGCTCAAAGAAATGTATTGCAGACTCAAAAATTGAAAAAGCAGCTTGTCTTATCTGTAAGGAGAAAAGAAATTACAGCATTCTTCTAGATAGAGTACATACTTATTTTGTTTCCCCTTATAGCTGAGACCAACCACTTATTCCTCCTCTGAATGGCTTTCTCGCTCCACCTAAATTCAAAGTGGCTTTGGGGCAACATTTTGGGAATGGGCAAAAGGCTAGATCATAGCTCTGTATATCCCTTCGGAAGGAAAGCACAGTTGCACATAACCTTGAATTATACATACAGCTGTCACTAGCAGGATTTAACTATTTTTGTGGTGGTTTTTGGAGGAAGGACAGAGTATACAGTACCTGTAACATATGGACAGTTTAACCTTCTTTACTGGGAAAGAACAACAAATTGCAAAGAATGACTTACTTGAAAGTAATTGCCTCCAAGTGCTATTTAAAAGCTTGGTGCTAGAGATAATGGGAATAGCAACTCGAGGTGTTTCATGATATTTCAAACTCACCTATTGTTGAAAAGGTGACTTTGACTGCGCCTTCAATGACCTCAAGTTTGTCAAAACTCCGGTGCAGATGATTCTTTTTGTTCAGCTTCCTGCTGTAGTGCTTCAGCACACATTTCACTGCCCACCAGAGGCCAAAGAGCAAGAAGAAACTTCCCGGAAGAGCATGGCCCTGAAAATTGGCCATTGCTGATCAAACCTCAGGAGCTACAAGGAGAGAACGGGAAGCCCAATAAATCATCTCGGCATAGATTTCATAAAGAGAATGGTACTAATAGCCAATGTCCCAACTATCCTTCCATCAGCACTTTCCATCACAATCTACCATCATTTTCCCAAACACAGCAATAGACCTGCCAACATCAACACCACATGGTCAATGGACAGATCCTTGTGAAATATACAATTTCCCCACTTTTTCTTTTAAAAAAAAATCCTTAAGGTACATTAATTTTAGGGACTCCTGATTGAAGCAGAGAATGTTCTACCTTCCTCCCAAAAATGTTTTTATGCTGGAAAACATGCTTAGGTGATCCCTCATAGACCAAGGATGATGGTCCTTCAAGTGCAGTGCCTTGGTGCTGGGTCCGTAGGTGGCTATGGACCCCTATTCTTGATCTACATGTTCTCCCAAAGTGAGGACATTGGTTTCCAGGTGAAACGAGGTCCCAGTCAGGGTTGGCTTGACTCGCCTTCCTCTTGGCACATTTCTCCCTTTCGCCCTCCAGTCGTGCCTCTTCAAATTCCACAGCACTGCTGGTCACAGCAGATCTCCAGTTAGATTGCTCAAGGGCCACAACTTCCCAGTTCTCAGTGTCTATGCCACAGTTTTTAAAGTTGGCTTAAACCCATCTTTAAATCTCTTTTCCTGTTCACCAACATTACGTTTCTTATTCTTGAATTGGGAGTATAGCAACTGCTTTGGGAGACAGTGATCTTCGGGCATTTGGACAACGTGGCCACTCCTGCAGCATTGATAGCGTAGGAGCATCTCTTCAATGCTGGTGGTCTTTGCTTCTTCCAACATGCTGACATTTGTCTTCTCAAGAGATTTGCAGGATTTTTCAGAGGCAACACTGATGGAATCATTCCAGGAATTGAGAGTGATGTCTGTAAACAGTCCATGTTTCACAGGCATATAGCAGAGTTGGGAGCACAATGGCTTTATAAAAAAGCACCTTGGTATCTCTATGGAAGTCCTGTTCCTCAAACACTCTCTGCTTCGTGTGGAAGAATGCTGCACTCACAGAACTCGTCGTCTGTCGGATAGATGATTTCCACTCCGGTGGGAAGCTTCCCATCAACAAGGTGAAGTATCATAGCGATGAAGATGGAAGATAAGGTTGGGGCAATAACACATCCCTGTTTGACACCTGATTCCACCTTAAATGGATCACTTTGGGAGCCTCCCTCTCCCCAAAGTGTTTTTATGCTGGAAAACTTGCCCCATTTGTTGACAGATGAGTGAATTGCCCATCCAAGTGTCCCATAGCCACAGTTGCCCAAAGGTATGGTTTGAGATTAGTTGTGAATATGAGTTGCAGCCATTCAACGAACTTCCTCTTGTCAAGCAGCTTCTGGTTCCTATCTAGCAAAATGATCTGCCTGCTTAATCTCTGCTTGAGTGCAGCAGGAAGAGATTGGTAACTTTATTTAGAACATTAGGTACCTGGCCATGCCCACGTGAGGTATGTAGTAAGGATAAACATTAGAAGTAGTCTTTGTTTGGTTTTGGGTTTTATGAATGGATCCATTAGAAAATGCATAAGGATGTGGGTGAACTACAATGCCCATCACTCAAGGTGAATCCCCCCTCCCCCAATCTGCTAGCAGTTAAAGTTATCATGTGTATGCCAGTTTGGTCCAGGTCCAGATTCATTGTCAGTGGGGTTCACACTGCACTTCGCATATGGATGAACAGTAAGTTCCATCATCATCTGTCAATGCCCTCCTCCCAACCCAGACAGTGTTTAAAGTTGGTTATGTTGGGTATCTGTGTCATGTTTGGTCCAGATCCATCACCGGTGGGGCTCTCAGTGCTCTCTGAATGTGGGAGCCATCTTGGAAAATACATAGGAACATAGATGGATGGATGGATGGATGGATGGATGGATAAGAGATACAGTAGAGTCTTGCTTATCCAAAATAAATGGGCTGGCAGAACATTGGATAAGCAAAAATGTTGGATAATAAGGAAGGATGAAGGAAAAGCCTATTAAACATCAAATTACATGATGATTTTACAAATTAAGCACCAAAACATCATGTTTTACAACAAATCAACAGAAAAATGAGTTCAATACACGGTAGTGTTATGTAGTAATTACTGTATTTACCAATTTAGCACCAAAACATTGCAATGTATTGAAACAGCTGTGGATCCCGGCAGGATGCACACTACGTTGGATAATACAGAACGTTGGCTGAATGAAGGTTGGATAAGCAAGGCTCTACTGTACCTAGATAGATACATACATAGATAAATATAGATACATATATATACATACATAGATAGGTAGATACAAAGATACAACCATATTTTCACTTTTATTAGATAGATAGATAGATAGATAGATAGATAGATAGATAGCCTTAAAAACCTTGAGTATACAGTGTTCCCTCACTTATCGTGGGTGTTCTGTTCCAGGACCATCGGAAATAAGTGAAAATTCGCGAAGTAGGGACACTATATTAATTTAATATTTATACCTTATTTTAGCATACCTCAGAGAAGGAGGCTGGTGTGCAGGCTGGAACTCTGTCCGCCAGCTCTGCTTGCCCTCCTGTGACTGGGTTGGGGGAGGAGGTAATGACAGAGAAACAGGGGTATACACACACATCTGTGTTTGAATCCTAAGAAAAGCAACATCCGCTGAGTTGCCCTCTCTTACCAAATGCTCAAAGCAAGGAAGGGGAACATGTGTTCCAAGAACAGAAGTCATATCACTCCCAACTCCCATCATACTTCACCATTGGCCAGTTGGGACTGAGGACAGGATTTTGGCCATTTCTTTTACTTCTTTTGTAGCTTGTAGGATTCATTTTAGAATTTACTATAAGAAACAGGTTTTATGCAGATGACACCACTTTGATGGCCGAAAGCAAGGAGGAGCTGAGGAGCCTTCTAATCAAGGTGAAAGAAGATAGCGCAAAAGTTGGGTTGCAGTTAAACACCAAAAGAACCAAGATGATGGCAACAAGAATGACTGACAACTGGGAAATAGAGGGCGAAAATGTGGAGGCAGTGACAGGGTTTGTATTTCTAGGTGCAAAGATTACTGCAGACGCAGACTGCAGCCAGGAAATCAGGAGACGCTTACTTCTTGGGAAGAGAGCAATGTCCAATCTTGATAAAATATTGAAGAGTAGAGACATCACACTGGCAACCAAGATCCGCATAGTTAAAGCAATGGTATTCCCCATAGTCACCTACGGATGTGAGAGCTGGACCTTAGGGAAAGCAGAGAGAAGGAAGATAGATGCTTTTGAACTGTGGTGCTGGAGGAAAGTTCTGAGAGTGCCTTGGACTGCGAGAAGAGCCAACCAGTCCATACTTCAGGAAATAAAGCCTGACTGCTCATTGGAGGGAAGGATACTAGAGGCCAAGACTAAGTACTTTGGCCACATCATGAGAAGAAACGAAAGCTTAGAGAATGAACAATTATGTTGGAGAAAATGGAAGGAAGAAGGAAGAGGGGCCGACCAAGGGCAAGATGGATGGATGGGATCCTTGAAGTGACTGGGCTGACCTTGAAGGAGCTGGGGGTGGTGACGGCCAACAGGGAGCTTTGGCGTGGACTGGTCCATGAAGTCACAAAGAGTTGGAAATGACTGAACGAATGAACAACAACAAAGGATTAATTTTACAATCTACTATAAGAAACAGGTTTTATGCCATTGTTTCCCTTGCCTGTTGCTGTGCAATGGCTTAATCATTTACTTGCCCTTCTGTTGTTTGCACTATACATGCAGAAACATGTAGACGCAATGCTTCATCCTTGCTTGCGGTGGCAACTACAGTTTGCACCAGCGATCGAAAGAAATGATTCCTTTCCTTTATCTTGAATTTCCCACCATTCAGCTTTTAGTGGATGAACTAAAAGCCTGAACACTGGGGAGAAATACTAAGGACCTCATCACATTGACTCCATAATCATCCTCATCACGCTGATGAGATTCCCCTCCCGATTCACCAGCCTCCGTGGTGAATCGGTGGGAAAGCGAGGCAATCCCTGCATCCTGCCTGGCTGGCAGCAATGCTTCCCCATCACATGTGGGGAAGCATCTACATGAGGATTATCCCCACGGTATCCCCATTATTCCAAATGGAACACGGAGAGGCTCCCAAGTTGGCGGCACAGCATCCTACCACACTGCCACTCTAGTTGAGCAACAGAGCCCTACCGGAAGTTCAGCTACGCCATGTGATAGGTGCATGGGACTCCATTGCTCAACTGCAGTGTCAGTGTCTTAGGACACTAAACATTAATTGTGTGATGAGGTCGTAGCTTCTCCTTATCCAAATCCTCCTTCCTATTTTAAGCATTCATAGAATCATAGAGTTGGAAGAGACCTCGTGGGCCATCCAGTCCAACTCCATTCTGCCAAGAAGCAAGAAAAGGTCATTCAAAGCATCTCTGGCAGATGGCCTCCATCACACTCCAAGGCAGAGAGTTCCACTGCTGAACAGCTCTCACAATCAGGAAGTTCTTCCTCGTTTTCAAGTGGAATCTCCTTTCCTGTAGTTTGAAGCCATTGTTCTGCATACTATTCTCCAGGACATCAAAAAACAAGCTTGCTCCCTCCTCCCTATGACTTTGTCCCACATATTTATACATGACTATCATGTCTCCTCTCAGCTTTCTCTTCTGAAGGCTAAACATGCCCAGCTCTTTAAGCCGCTCCTCATAGGGCTTGTTCTCCAGACCTTGATCATTTTGTCAACATCTCCCTTCAAACTTCTTAGTGGCAAAGGTACTGCCACGCCTTGATGCTTTTGAATGCCATTTTAGCACTTTTCCTTACTGTGAAGAAACATGCAATTATTTTAGCAGCAGTGTTTATATCTGTATCTTGTATGGGATCATATCAGGGTTACTATGATATTGGCCACTTTATTTTAGTTGTTTTCTTAATTATGCCAAGCATAGGATCAGCTTTTCCTCCTCCCTTCTCAGCAGAAGCCCCTCATTGAATCAGGTCCACCA